TCTTCCCTCTTTTTTTTTTAGGATGCAGTCCAGGATGACATTTCTCGAGCAGGGAAAACACTGCAGCACAAGCACGAAAATACTCTTGGACTCTGCTCAGCAGAAGCCCGGAGGTCGAGCAGAGGGTTATGTTTCATGTTAAGGAGGGAAAATAAAAAAGGCTTAAGGGTAGGGAGGGATGGGGAGGCAGGAGGGGGCTGAGCTGCACTGCACACCGTTTCCCAGCCAGCAAAGGGCCGCTCTCTGTGCGCATACCTCCCAGCACCGGTCACATGAAACTTCTTTGTAATGTAGTTAATAAATGGGCAAGCACTACAGGACTACGGGGGAAAGAGGATGCTGTTAGAGAGGGGGGGATTAGGACCACGCACGCCTTTTGGCACACGAGTGCCCAGTTCCGCAGTGTTCCCCCTGCTTCAGCCAGAGAGGTACCTGCGGGAGAACAGCGGGATCCTGCTCCCCTTTAAATCCTGGGGACTGTACCTCCGAGCTCCATGGGAGCAGGACCGAGGCCAGAGTCAAGCGAGGGGTGATTAATGAACGTAGGTTACTCAGAGCAGAGTGGTTCCAATTAGTCCTCAGCAAGCAGTTCTGCGGCAAAGGTGGGCGCTCCCCTGCAATGATTCATACAGAGAACCCTAATACTCACTTCGCTTTAGTGAACATTAAAACTTGCATCTATTTTTTCCCCCCTTCCGTTGGCATGTTTCAGGCTGCAATTCGAGTGCAGCCTAAGGAAAATTGAAAATTTTTTTATTATTTGCAAAGCAAGATTGCAATGTGTCATAACGATGCCAAACTGGGAGAGCGCCTTTTTTCCCTCTCAGGTTGGGTGTGTGATGGGAATTTTCCCTTTTGCACTCAGTCTATTTCTAGGAAGGATTTCTCTTATCGCTGTTCAAACAGGGCGTGGGGTTTTTTTCCCTCCGAGAAAGAAGATACTTCAGAGAGGCAGCAGTGCTCCCCTCGCTCTGCGCTACCCAGCCAATTCACAACACCTTTAAAATCCTAGTGCCTGCTCCTGACTTCACCTGCGAGGAGAAGCGGAGCGGCGGAGGGGCGCGGGCACGAGGCCAGACCAGAAGCAGGTCCTGCTCCGGGGGCTGGGGCTCTGCGCTCCCTCGGGGGCTGCAGCACCGCTTCGGTGGGAGCTTTGCCGAGGAGAGGCCTCGTCCCTTCCCGTCCTTGGGGCAGGGCTCCTGCGGGAGCTCTCGGCAAGGGCAGCAGCGAAGCCTCCAAGTGCCCCCTGCGAAAAAGCCTGGGCATCCGTAAAGGGAAGGGGAGGTGGGAGCAGAAATAAAAAGCAGCCCCGTCTTCATGAGAGGAGATAATTCTCTGGTCAGCCAATAGCAACCAGTTTACCCACAGATTACACATTAACCAGAAAATGCAACTCGAATTAACCAGAATCTGGAGCTTGAACCATTACTCAAACCCGGGTGCAACAGCAGGTCAGATGCCAAAGGGCAGGTTTGTGCCCCGGCCCTGGGGAGGGGCGAGGTGCAGCATCGGCATCGGGGACCCCCGCCACTGACGCCCGCTGTCACCCACGGCAGGGCAGGCATTCCACCCCTCCGGGCAGGATGGGGTCTGAGACGTGGGCTGGACCAGCCGGGCACAGGAACAGCAACAGGCCCTCTCCTGCCAGTGCCACCAGCGCCCGGGAGGGATGACCTTACAGCTGGGAACAAGTTGCACCAGCAGCAGGGGAGGAAAAATATAAACGGGGGGAAAAAAAAAGTGCTGGGTTTATGAGCCAGGGTTTGGAGATGAAACTCCCACCCTGGATCAGCTGGAGCATCCTTTGGAGAGGCCTCCGCTTCTCAAATACACTGGGCAGACAATCCCGTTCAAAGAGCGGGAGAGGGCTCTGCAAACGGACACTGGAGGCTCTCGGGGAAGGTGGCTTTAAAGGAGCTGGGTCGAGGGTTTGAGGAGCCTTTCGAAGTCGAAATGCCCTTTGACATGGAGAACTGCAGTGAAGAGGGGCTCAGAGACCTGAGCGTTTCTAGCACATTAACCTTTGGGATTGATTGTTTAGAACAAGTAACTCTCAAAAGTTGGAGGAAGTCTTTTGAATTTTTTTTTTTCCTCTGCTCCTCAGTTCGCTCTGAGCTTTCTAAGGCCTGTAGCAAAAAAAAAAAAAAAAAAAAAAAAAAAAAAAAAAAAAAAAAAACCACAGAAAAGAAAAGAAAACCACGAGGCAAACAAAAGAAGAAGAGGGGCAAAAAAGCAAAGAAAAGCAAAAAAGGAGGCAGTATGGACCCAAATGGCAAGAAATCTTTCGATCTAGCGCTAAGTGGCTCTGTGACAAGCCAAGCCTGACGCGGTGTCATCTCTTACTAGAGATAGGCATGCTTCGCTGGGATCAGATGATAAGAGGATGTGAAGTCTTCCCTTTCACTTCACTCCATCATGAAACAATCAAAATATAGGGCCACATCATGTCATCAGGCTTTTAAGCAGACCTCCCCTTTGAGAGCTCCTAAAACCTGGTGTGATGATCTGAGTCACTGAAACTGAGCTCACTGCAATACTGAGAAGTCAGAAGCAGCACCTGAAAGCTCACGTTTTTCATCTACCTGAAAGGTAACATGATTTCTAGCGGGCGACAGTTTTCCATTTTATACAAAACTATCCTTTTCCTTCTCCCCTCCTGAATATTCTTGAGCCCAGCTCTCGTATCAGCATCACCCCTTTGCCAGGCAGTACGCTGAAGCACTGCTCTCGGAGTTATTGAACTTTAAACTAGAGACTAAGAAACTGAGTACGGAATCAAAAAAATGCAGTTTATTATTGTAGATTATTCTCTCTTTTGATATAACCATAGAGTCGAAAATGAAAGAAAAGCACATAGGAACATCACACGTGGTTAGTTAGTAACTCAAGATATAAAACAATTTTGCACAGCAAAATATGTAAAAGAAAAAGTAACTGACAAGATTTTTTTATATTTATTGTGGTAAGATTTACTTTCCATTTTTTTTTTCTTAAAAGACAGGATATCAGTCCCTGAAAATAAAATTTACTGATTATTGCCTTTAAAACTGTGGAATTTTTGAAGTTACAGAAAATCCAGTTCTGCACCACAATACAACTGTAAAAAAATCTGCATCATTTTAAAACTGTGCAGTAATGCCATCTTTATAACTGCATAAATTGTATTAGCGTTCTAAACAGGTTCGTAATTTTTTTTTTGTTTTTGTATTATATGCTTGCAGGTTATATCTTAGTGCAATTCAGTCCCAAATACTTCAATTTTGGAAAAAAAAAACCCAAAAAAACCACAAAAGAACAAAAAAAACCAACCCATACATTTTGAATGTAAAATACCCCTCTAGATATAAACAGGGGTGCCTCCCCCTTTTAATACTTTGGTTTTCAAATACAGTCAGTGGTATAGCAAGGACTACATATACCCAACTTATATTTAAGTTGCAAGCACATGCTGCATAAACTACTTTTTAAAACAGTCCCGTTGCAAATTCTACCCCCCTTTACATCACGACAGTAAACAATTTAGTGCATCAATCTTTAAAAAAAAACTACATCTAAACAGACCTAACTCTTTCGAATTTATCTATAACATTCCTTTATCTGTAGCATACATTTTAACTGGGCTAACAGATGACAGAAACTAGAATTAAATTATATACTAGGAACCCAGAGCATTCCACATTTGACAATGACCAAATGCAAAAGGAAAAAAAAAAATGGGGCAGATCACTTAAAATTAATTTTTAGACTGTTTTAGGCAACAGCATGGTTTCAATGTCCCCCCCCAAGTGGGATGTGAATTTTATTAACACCTTTCCAAATTTCTTTTTGTACTTTTTTTTTTTTTTCTGCCACATTAGGTTATCAAAATCCATTCTGGCATGTTTTTTGAGAGGGAATGCTTCAGTGCATTTAAAGGAAGTCTGAAGTTCTGAGTAACTCAAAGCAGTTTTAGAGCAGATGCAAACTTTAATGGGGAGGAAGAGGAGGAGGAAGATCAAAGGTTGCACTTTTTTGCTTTCAACCCAAAAAAGTGATGAGGCAATAAAACAAAAGGATGAATGCCATGCCATAATAGTCTCCAAAAGTCCATTTCCAAGCAAAAGAAAAAAAAAATAATTATACCGTACATGACCAGCATGCAGGGTTTTTTATTAATATAATGTCTCTTTTTCATAGTCTTTCGAAACAGTTATAGTTCATTGTTGCTAAGACAAAATAGCAAGCGTAATGCATGAGATGAGTATGGGATTCTAATGGCAGACTAAAGTCTCACGTTTGGCAGATTAAGGCCAAAACTCACATGAACACACCGAAGGTTGATGCAGGCTTGATTTTGGCAGGTTGATCTAGGCATATCTCTAGTTTTGCACAACAACGCTAAAAACTGATGGAACTCAGCAAGCCGGAGTCTAACAATTTCACATTGTTTTTGTATTTTTTTTTTGTTTTTCTTTGTTTTAGTTTTTTTTTTTTTTTTTTAATTTTTCTTTTTGCAAAGCTCAAATCTCATATGAAGAACTCAGGATGGCAAAAAAAAAAATTCTGACTTTTTTGGACACAGCAAGCTCAAAAGAAAAAAAACCCCTCATGAACTTAAAAATATATATATATATAATGTGGATGGCAGGTTTCAAAGAAGAGCAAGCTTCATATGAAGAACTGAGTTGGTGGCGAGTTGGATCTTTTAAATTTAAAAAAAAAACCCACAACAGCAAGCCCCCACAAAAATAATAATAAAAAATAATAATAATAAACAGAAAGGAAACTCATGTAGAACTTTAGGTTGGCCAACACGGAGCCAGCCCACCTTAAAAAGGAAAAAAAAAAAACCCAAACAACCCAAAAAGCAACTTTGTTTTAAAATTGTTTTGAGTTTTGTTTTGTTTTTTTTTTTAAAAAAAAGGTAATAGAAGGTGGGAAGCTGGGTTGTCGCTCTAGCAAAGCCCCCAACAACAACTCACAGGGAGAACTTTTAGTTAAGGTGGCAAGGCTGTGGGAACTCACATGAAAAACTCTGGAGAGGAAGGGTTGTCGCTGCTGGATCCGTTTTCTCTGAAGCCGTTGCTGACCAGCTTCTCGTATTTTTCCTTGTAGGCGTCCCTCTCCCGGACCAGCCTGGAGATCTCCTGCTTTAGGTGCTCCACTTGCTGCAGCAGCTGGTTCTTCTCCGACTCCAGGACGTGCCGCTGCTGGACCCTCTTGAAGCGGCAGGACTGGGCATAGCCCCTGTTTTTGAGGGTCCTCCTCTTCTGCTTCAGCCGGATCACCTCTTCCTTGCTGACGCCCCGCAGCTGCCGG